TGCCGATGTTAACTGAAAATGTCGTATAGAATTCATATCGCTCCAAGTTATCAAGTTTTACAATAAAATTCTAAAAATTGCCTCCAAATATCAAACAATCTAAAAACATCATGGAATGACAGAATATCGACAAAAAGTATGGAATTATCGCCTAACATTGAAGAAATCTAGTGTGTCCTAAAAAAAATAAATGCTCGTCAAGTAGCGCGCATTGGTCGCAATCGCACGACTTTCCGTCAGAATGCATGATCTCGCCCCAATAAAACCCCGTAGACTTTCGTGTCTGGCCTCCTTTAAAGGTGGTGTACGGTGAAATTTTTATTGCACCAAAATGTGCGCAAATGTAGGTAGATTGACATAAAAATAAAGAAACAATCCCAATAATATTTGGTTCATTGGAGAACTACGCACAGATTTAAACGCTGCAAGCCTTTAGGGTCGGAGTCCCCCTTTAAAGATAGTATTTCGACTGCTATGATAAATTCCTTTTTTGGTCACAGTTTGAAACATTTTTTTTCTTTCAAAAAAGTTTCCTTCAATTATTAGCCTAATTATCTCAATCTCGATTAAACATACAGTGCGTCGCATAACTATAGGACCCCCCCCCCTCAATTTGGGGTGTACAGCAAAAACTAGAGTAGATAAGAAAAATCTGTGAATGCAGTTGGATTCAGAATCAAAAATAACCCTAGGAACCAAATTTTCAGAACCCTACCATTTTCCATACCCTCACGGCAAGAAAAAGGTCCATTTCGACCGTCGCATAACTATAGGACCCCCAGATGTTTTGGGTGCACAGGTCGTTTTTTGACCATTTTATCTACTCTAAATTGTTTTATTTACGTTTTTCATTGTTTTAAGCTTTTTCTGAAGATGTTTCTCGCAACTTTCTTTCAAAGTAATCATGTCTGAATCCGATTTTCCCTTCAGTCAACAAAATCCATTTATTCTAAGCAACTAACAAAAAACACATCGAAAAATCAGTACTTAGTCTCTCCGCCGTTGTTTTGAATCACTTCAACGATACTGCTCGACATGCTGGCTACAAGATTCTTCAATTCGGCATCAGTGAGAGCGTCCCATTCAGCCTGGATTGCGTCCTTGAGCTCCTGCACGGTCTTGAATTGCCTCCCGTTTCGATGGACCCGGCGAACGAGGATGCCCCAGATGTTCTCAATGGGGTTTAGATCGGGACTGCATGCAGGCCATTCGAACACCTCAATTCGTTTCGAGACGAACCAGTTCCTCGTGGAGGTGCTCGTGTGGATAGATGCGTTGTCCTGTTGGAAAGTGTGGGTGTGGCGTCTGTTGCGGAAGAACGGAGCCACGGCCTTTTGGAGAGTTGCTTGGTACGTGGCAGAATTCTCCTTCGTGGTGATGAATTGCAGTTCGAGCTTTTTTCCATTGCAAAAAGCGCCCGAAATCATAACAGAGCCGCCGCCAAAGTTGCGCCTGGAGAACATTTCACGAAATTGAGACGTGCTGCTTTGTGGGCATCAGTCATCTTCGGAACTTTGGCCATCTTCTGACGAACGATGACTCCACTTCTTTTGATGATTCTGCCCACCGTACTCTTGTGAACTGGCAGCTTGAGTTCGTTCTTCACATCGTTCAGACTTTTGGGCGAGTTGGAGACTGATTTCAAGATGCTGCGTTCTTGACGTGAAGTCAGCTTTCTCGGTCTTCCAGCAGACTCCTTCAGCTTCTTCTCGTAATGGAGTGGGTCGGCGAGGTATTTTCGGATGACGTTACGACTTCTCGTGAGTTGACGGGACATCTCGTGAAGTGTCAGTCCAAGTTGTTTCATCACCTCCACTTTGGCCTGTTCGGCAAGAGAGAGGAGTGTAGCGCGAGCCATGGTTGAAGGAATGTTTCCGAGGCATATTTATAGGACCAACTAATATTTTCAGTTACTGTACCTGCACATCAAACTATCGCCACGATCCGAATTACTGTAAAAAATGCAGCTGGAGATTTACGGAAGGGCCAGAAGTGAAGCTTGATCTCGAAAATGAGTTCCTTGCATTGTTGGATGTTCCACACGAAGATGTTGAGAGAAAGTTGCTAGAAACATCTTCAGAAAAAGCTTAAAACAATGATAAACGTAAATAAAACAATTTAGAGTAGATAAAATGGTCAAAAAACGGCCTGTGCACCCAAAACATCTGGGGGTCCTATAGTTATGCGACGGTCGAAAATGGACCTTTTTCTTGCCGTGAGGGTATGGAAAATGGTAGTGTTCTGAAAATTTGGTTCCTAGGGTTATTTTTGATTCTGAATCCAACTGCATTTACAAATTTTTCTTATCTACTCTAGTTTTTGCTGTACACCCCAAATTGAGGGGGGGGGGGGGGTCCTATAGTTATGCGGCGCACTGTATCTGAAGGTCATTGATAAAATTTATTCACAATATCAATAACAGTTTATCATTTAACCGCTTTCTGATATGGTTCACAGGAAATTAGAAAAATCGGGTCAATGGTAGGACACTTTCTTCAAAGAAGACAGTACTTCTACAGGAAACGGGTACGGTAGTTTCCCATTGTTATAATTAGACTCTTATTTTTCCTTTTTTAATGTGATCTCTATTTTTATGTTTTATAGTTTTCTGAGCATCCAAAGATCATGTGTCATCTCATAAAAAATTAAAAATTCATTACATCCATGTATGCAGCCTTATAATAATCATGAGCAACATGCACATTCTTTTTCCTTCTTCGTCACAAACTACACATATTTAGGCTCCGCCCCCTTTAGAGCCATCCCACCTCCCTCTGTCTCATCCTTATCCTCTATTCATACCCTCTTGGCGACCTCCTCTCGGCTGAAAAAAAAAAGAAAAATAAATAAAATTTTTTTCTAAAGGTGAATGCTTCTTGATTCAATTCAACCAATTGAATTTTCGTCAACATCAGCCGACATGATATTATTTTCACTTATCAATCGAACCGCTTCCAACTTAGACATGTCCTCGGATCTTATTGATAATCTTTATATTTTGGAAACTATTCTTTTGGTTTGGAGGTGGGTTTTTGCGTTTCATTTTGGAATCATTGGTGATATGCGCATGTTATAGAAAAGGACTTTTAAATCCCGAATCAAAGTTTTTGAAAAAAGTTGTAAATCTTGAAACACTAATGAAACGGTTTTGTTTTTTATGTCGTCTTTTCGTCTTTTTCAGTTATTTGAGGGTTCATTTTTGCGTGAAGGTGTACAGTGTCTACCGTAACCCCATAATAGACCAGGTGAACGCCAACTGCGACCGCGCAGCGCAGCATGTACCCAAGTTAGGTTGCAAGTTATCGTATACCATAAATATCCAAATTTTGAAACTTTAAAAGAAATTTAAAAGAAAGGAGCTCAGTAAAATTTATTTTTTTAAGTTTCAACAATGCTATCAGGTTCTTGAAACTGTGTATTTTCAAATGAAATTGTTGCATTTTCTTTAGCTTCTGGAGATTTAAAGGTTTTTGTCTGCAATTTGATATGATAGTGCTTGTATAAACTACTGAATCTAATTATTAGATTACTGTACATACAAATTTCCGTAACGTAGTTTCTGCAAACACCATGACGTCAGAATGCAGACGAAAAAAATCCAATGAGTTTTCTTTGTTCGAGGAACACTAAAGAGTACTTTTCTGATTTCAAATGCATAGTTTTCGTGTTTTTGCTTTTTAGATCAAAAATTCATGATATTCCTGTTACACAAACTTCATAAAATACGATTGCAAGAAAAGTTTTCTACTGTATGATAGGGGTACTTTTTTGAGATTACTGTATTCTGCTCGAACTTTTAATTGTGGAAAAAAGTAAATATTCAGAAAAAACATGTCATGAAAAAATAATGTTCTCGAAATTGCTTTTAAATATGCCCCTCGAGGAATTGAACTTGTCGGAGCATTGAAGGTGCGGCGTCGCTACCGCCGGAGCCACGAGGACAAAGGAGGAGTGGGTGATAAACATATGGGGGAGGACGACAGCTGTACGCAGAGTGACATTAAGCGTTGTACACCGTTACGGTAGAATGCATACTCTTGCTACAAAAGAAATGCATACTCTGGCTACAAACTTTTTAATAGAAACAATGAATCTGCAAGAAAATTTGCAAATTTCATGAAACTGAAATTTCCGAGTTTGCATTTGATGTTTCAACAAAAGATATTTCAACTGTGAAATGAGAACTTTTACAAATAAAGTCTCGATAGTTCCACTGATAGAGTAAAAATTCTAGTAGCCCCTCATAGAGTTGAACTTGTGGGCTAAATGTTGAAAGCTTCGCTGTTACCGGCTGAGCTACGCGGTCACGCCAGCAGCCGATGGAGTATATGTCAGCCAAAGACATCGATCAATGTACATCGTCTCCTCAAAACACATACCTCACTTTTGAATACCCAGCACTCCTTATTCTACAATTATGATAACCGGAAAAAGAAATTGAACAAAAATAATGGAGACCAATAAAACATGGATAATGTCTATTTTAAATACCACTTTAGAATGGCGTTTTGAGTCATAAATAGGCTCTTTTTAAGCTATTTTTGAATTTTTTAATAAAGGGAAGTTTTCTCTAAAAGCGCAATGCGAACTAATATCATGAAACATCAAAACAAATTATGATAATTTTGAAACAGAAAAAAAGTTTTCAGCTATTTCGAATGTGGAGTGTTCTTCTATGTCCTTTGCACCAACAGTCAATACCATCCAAATCTCACTTGGCTTCTCAAAAATCTAGTCGCCCAATATTTCATCTCAATGGCATGTCGACTGTTTCAGATTTATTTTCAATATGGAATCGATGATGAGAGTATGTTTGAAATCGAAAAAAAAGTGAACTTTACTTTGAGCCAATTTATATCGGTTCCTGTAGAAAATATCGAAAAGTGGGCAACTGATAAAATGTTATCAACGTTTACATATCTCAAATTCGTTATCACAAATTCATTGTCACTACATATTTAATAAGTGTCTACAGAACGAAAATCATTGAAAAATCGAGGACAAAACAAAATTTTGAAAAAGCGAAAAGTTCAAATGAATCAAATTGGTTCTGAATATCATACTTCGGAATATCGTGATTCTGAATATCATAAAAGTGAAATAGTAAAAACGCAAACGGTTCAGATACTGGTTAATCATTTGAAAATCCTTAAAATCCTATTCAATTCCAGGCAATTTAAAAACCAACTGGTTCTTCATTCTTGTCACTTTCTCTCGAAATTGTCTCATTTTCACTGCTCTCTACTTCTCACCATTTGTAATGATGGAACGGTTATATGCATCTGTACACATTGGAGGTTTGATCTTTTGATTTTCATTACTGACATCTGAAAATGAATTTCAGATTACGAGCACAAACCGCGTCACTATGTCGGCTATACGCTATCGTTGTTTTTGTATCTTTGGTCACTGATGATCGGATTAACGTATGCGTTTGGTAAGGGCGAAATGGGATACAAATTGAGATCAGGAACTATTTTAAGGGATCAGTAGATAGAAACAAAATGAAGGGATTTTCAAAGCACATTGACATCCAAAATATCGGGTTTAAAAACAATTAACGGTTAAACAACTAAAGTGAAACTGTAATTTAGATTATCTTTGCTCTCACTTCGAACTCAATTATCTCAATTTTTTAATAAAAGATCGAAAGATAGTCGATAGATAAAATGTTGGTGACATAATGATGAACATTTTATTAGCTGACATCTCTACCGAGATGTTGGGTAGAAGTTTTTAGGGTAATGATCGATGAATACATTACATACATGTGCTTGCTACAATTGTAATAAACATTATGAAACTGAATTTTTTTCTAGGTATTAAAAAAAAGAGTTCAAATTTGATTTTTTTTCAGAAGTCATCCCAACATACATCCACGTCTCCTGCTTGGTTTCCATCAATATGTTAGCATTTGTGGTGAGGGTTTTTTCATACTTTTTGATTCATGTCGAATTTTAAGTTATTTGAAAAATGAGGAAAAACATTCAGTTTCATAATGTCTTTTACGATCATAGCAAACCAGTCGGTTTACGCCTCTTCGGGGCTAAACCTCCTGGCCCCCGCTTACGATACCCGCAATCTTATAAAAAGGTTCCGTCACTTTTACGGAGGCTATTTTTTAAGGCCTATGCTCACAAATTTGAAAATTAAGAAATTTTGAAAGTTGGGAAGTTCAGAAATTCAGTAGTTCAGAAATTGAGAAATTGAGAAATTGAGAAATTCGGAAGTTCATAAATTCAGAATTTCAAGAATTCAGAAAATCGGCAATCCAGAAATTTGGACATTGAGGAATTCATGATTCAGAAGTTCTGATTTTTTTGAAATTCCAAATTCTGAATTTCTAATTTTTTTTGAGATTCTGAAGTTTTGATTTTCGGTTTTTCAAATTTCGGAATTACCAAATTTGGATTTTTTGAAATGCAAGAACTTAACTTAAAGGGGGACTCCGACCAAAATGTTTTATTGCATTAAAATGTTCGGAAAGTTGTCTATTTTCCCAATATTATAGCGAAACAAATCGAAAAAAATCCGAAATCCCCGAAAAATACCGTTAAAAGCGAAAAATTTTCAAAAAAAAGTTGCTAGGAAGGACGAGGATTTGAATTCCCGCGCAGTGAAAAACCTAGGCCACGGCGCCTGACAGCCGTTTTTTTCAAGTCGCCGACAGTGGTTTTTTACGTTTTTTACCTGCCGGACATGAAACCGAAAAAATTCGGAAAAAAAATAGTGGAGTTGAGCGGGAATGACGTAAATATAATTTCTGAAGACTTGTACTGTAGAAATAGAAGAACGTCTCCAGAAGACGTCAGAAGCGAAATTTCACAAATCAAAATAGACGGGCATCATCTCGCTGCTATTTCGGGTTATCTGTGAAAATTTGGAAAATTTTGGTAAAATGGTGACTTCGCTAGGGTCCCGGAACCGGGAACACCGGACACACAGACAGAATTTGGTGATTGTTAATAGTAAAGATATAAAGACGGATAGTAAAGATATAATACTCGATGCAAGCCTCTTAATAATGTATCTTAAAACCTCTAATGGAAGTGCCCCACCAACTTCAACCCAATTTATCTCGGTTACTGTAAGAGATATCCAAACGTGGTCAACAGACAAAACATTTTTAATAAAATGAATCGCTTTTTGTCAGTTGACAATTTTTCGGTATCTTTCACAGGAAACGAGATAATTTAGTTCAAAATTGACTTAACGAATTTGGAGTGTTTAAATTTGTTGCAATCTAATATGTACATAGATTGATAATCTTGAAAAGTTTCGCCTTTTTCAAACCTTGATGAAACAGAACAACTTCGAATTTCAAACTGATTATAAAAACAAGAATTTCAGTTTTACAAGGTTTAGATTTCTCTGATGAGAGTAACAATTACCAATCTTCATTGCATGGGCAAAAGCAACTAAACATTTTAATTCATCAATTTTTTAAAATCATAATTGTAACTGTTTGACCTCCATGACAGAAGTTTTTTCTTCAAACTTGTGCAATTAAAAAGATAAGAGTTGACTGACTTTCGACTTCTGGGATCTGGCAGTTTCATAGTTTAACGAAACAGAAGAGTCAAATAAAAATTGAAAAACCTGAAAGAATATAATTGTCTTGAAGTTAAAATATGTGTCTTGAGGAGTTGAACTTGCAAGCCAAATATTAGGCAGGTAACAAAATTATCACTTTTCAAATTTGTCAAATCCAAAATTTCTGTTTCATGGAGTCTAGATTTTTGTTATGAGACCATCTATTACCAATGCACCGGTTGGATAGAAAAGTTTTCAAAAAAGAAATAATAAAGTTAACAATCCCAGGTGTGTCTTCTAAACGAAAGCTACAACTCGAAGAAATTCGTCCAAAAGAAGTTTTCAACACGAAAATCAGTGACCTACTCGTTATCAGAACGTTATCAAATTGTGGAGAATTTGAAAACTGCTTATGTGAGTTTTAATAAAATTCACCGTTTCACAATTCTCATAGGTTTTCATTTATTTTTATAGTTTGTTTTTCTTTTCTCAACTACTACTGATGTTAACTAAAGCTCTGATTTTGTTTATGTAGAATACTCAGAAACTTTCCGACGAATCGGAAAATTCTGGACTTCTTTTTCAGGGTCTCAAAGTTGACTTTTTGTATTAATGCAAATTAAATAACATTTTCTTCCAGCTCTTCAAACGCGGCATCATCTCAATCATTATATTTTCCGTAATCTGTGGTGTTTTCCTAGTCCGAATGAGTTCTGATGAGCACGATTCGTCGATGAACTGGATCCTGATTGGCTTCAATTATGCCGCCATTTTGTGAGATTTGTTTTGAATTGAATCGAGGGGTCAAAAACCAATATTTTCAGATATGGAATCGGTTTTCCAGCCGCCATGTTTTTTTATGATCAACAATTTCAGAAACAGCTGTTGAGTTATATTCGGATGGTAAGATTGATGTTACAAAGTAATTTTCGATTTCTTGAATTTCAGATATTCTGCATCTCATCTCGAACGACGCCGTTGTATGAGGAAACAGAAGAGAATAGTCAGAAAGCAAAGATTAGTAGAAGTTTAGAAGCTGTTAAGGAGACGGATATTTATTTTAATAATTTGAAAGGAGACTGGGAGAAAATGGCGACGAAAAGCAAACGGAGATGTGAATGTTAATTTGATTTTTAATGTGAATTTATGTGAATTGAATAATAAAGGGGTTTTGTGTTTATTTTTATTTAAATCTTTTTTTAAATTGAGCTCCAGGATTGGATATTTTTGAAATACCGCCGAAACTGTGAATTTTGAATTTTTGTTTCCGTATTCTTTTAAAAAACTACCAGCTTTCCCTTGGATTTTGTCTGTTGAACATGCCCACTATATTTTTTACTGCTTTAGTCAGTTTCCAACTGTTGATGTTTAATTGGTGCTGTATTTGTTCTGGCGGCATGCCTATCTACTCGAATAAAATAATCTTCGATACAATCAAATCAAATCGAAATATCAGAATAATTGAAAATTATCTGAAGCAGAAAAATTGCGAAATTTTTGTTTTGAAAATGATGCATAACTAAAAGTACATAACTACATACTTGTAATCCGGGCCTTTCCCGGGCCTTCGCGGGCCTTGCCATTGTTTCTTCCAGAATCATTATTTTCAGATCAAGGGTTACAGGCGAAAAAAAAACGGAAAAGCAGGCCCGGCCCGGCCCGGCTCGACACCTCCGAAAAAAGCCACTTTTTGGCCTGTAACTTTGTTCACAGACAAGTTACAGTATTCCGCATGATATCATTTTGTTGTACTCGTCGAGCTCTATCATATTCGAATTAGTTGGTCTGAAAATTTCTATTCTAAAAGAAATTATGGCAGGGCCCGCGAAGGCCCGGGAAAGGCCCGGATTACAAGTATGCATAACTAAGATTGTATTGAATTTTTTTCGAAATTAAAAAAAAACCATTTCATAAATCTCTGCTTCATTCAGTATTTAATTGTTGGGAATTTCAATTTGTTTTAGTTTAATCGAGATGTAATGTGACAATAGTTTGAATTTCCGATTTTTCCTTCTCGTTATGACTATTTCCTTTCAATTGTTTTCGAAAATCGGGAAAAAATTGAAAATTTCCAAATTTCTCCTTTTCCTGTCAGATTTCAGTTGTTCAAAAAATTTAGTATACAGAAAGTTACAGTACTGGCCAAAAAGGTATTCGCAAACGATTTTTTGAGAGTAACTTTGCTGAAACTTAAGGGATCGATCTGAAAATTTTACTGTGCATGTCGTACACGGTGACGACAAATTGCGTACAAGGAAATTGCATCATTTTCAGAAATTTTTTGTTTTTTTCAATTTTTTCAATTTTTTCGTTTTTTCACTTTTTTCATATTTTTATATTTTTGGATATTATGGTTTCTAAGAATGTTGGTTTTGGCTCCTATGTATTTAAAACTGTTTACAGACATGGCCAGACCCCTCGGAAAAAAAAACATCTCTCAGGACATCCGTAAAGCCATCGTCATCGGCTTCAGAAGTGGATGTTCCAAGGGCCTCTTGGCGCAGCAGTTCAATGTTACTAAACGTGCCATCGAGAAGATCTTGAAGCAGTTTCGGGATGAGGTAATATTCGAAAATAGTATAGTTATGGAAAAAAATGTTTAGGGAGCCTTGGTGGAGCGAAAATCGCCTGGAAGACCGCGTATCACGTCGAAGAACATGGATCGGAACATCGTCCGAGCTTCAAGAGAGGATCCCCAGAGGAGTTCTACGGACATTCAGATGGTCGTGAAGACTCCAAATGAAGTCACACCATCCCTGAGAACCGTCAGAAGACGTCTTCAAGATGCTGGACTCCATGGACGACGGCCAGCTAAGAAACCATCGATCAGCAAGAAGAACAGAATCGCCCGCGTAGCATGGGCCAGAGCTCATCTCCACTGGGGACGTCAGGATTGGGCTAATCACGTGTTCAGCGACGAATCCAAGTTCAATCTGTTCGGTACTGACGGTATCAAGTGGATTCGCCGTCCGGTTGGATGTCGGTTCGATCCCAGCTACCAGCTCCAAACCGTCAAGCATGGAGGTGGATCGGTGATGGTCTGGGGCTGCTTCTCTGGGACTTCAATCGGCCCGCTGAGAAGAATTACGGGCATCATGGATCGCTTTGTGTATGAAGACATCTTGGAGAACACAATGAGACCCTGGGCACGGTCTACTGTGGGCCGGGCGTTCGTTTTCCAACAGGATAACGACCCGAAGCACACCTCGAAGCACATCAAGGAGTGGTTCCGACGCCGCCACGTGGATCTTCTGTACTGGCCAAGTCAATCTCCGGACTTGAATCCGATCGAACACCTCTGGGAGCATGTCGAGAGACAGCTTAGAGGGATCCGTGCCTCGAATGCCAACCAGAAGTTCGACCAACTCCAAGATGTCTGGCAGGCCATCCCGATGTCTGTCATCGACACTTTTCTCGACTCGATGCCAAGAAGATGTCAAACGGTAATCGACGCCAAAGGCTTCCCAACGAAGTACTAAAGCTATTTTATTCATTTTCTATTATTATTTTTCGTTTACCGGTCTATCCTAGATCTCAGAAGTCAAAGTTCCATTTACCGGTTTTTTGCAATTTTCATGAATTTTTCGATTTTTTTTCAATTTTTTGAAATTTTGACTATTCTTGTTGTTGAATCAGTTTCTTTTACCGTTTCAAACTTTGTCTTAAAATATCAGATTGATCCGGGAAGTTTCAGAAAAGTTATGCTCGAAAAACTATTTGCGAATACCTTTTTGGCCAGTACTGTAGGCCACCATGGTTTCGTTAATAAAATTTCTCCAAATTTGTGCCCAATTATTTCGGTTCCTGTAAACGATATCCAAAATTAGTCAATTGATAAAATGTTAACGATATTATGACAAAAAGTTTATCAGTTGACAAAACTTTGATATCTCTCATAGAAATTTAGATTGAGTTCAACGCATTTATTGTATTTTCAATAAATCCAAGACATCGAAAAACTTCACTTGAAAAAAATAGATTGAAAAAAATGCTGATTCATAGGCTTCATAATACGGACACCATCAAGTTTTGTACGGTAGGTGACGGATCAAAGAAAACGGCTATATGAAAAATGGTACATAAACTCTCAAAAAAATGCATTTTTCGAAAAAGAAAAAATATCTGGATGAAAGTGAATAACAAGCCTTGTTTGAAGAAGTTTGAACTGCTTGGGGTTTTATGCGCCATCTACAGTAACTTTTTCATTTTTCTTTTTCGTCATACTCGTAAAATTCCGGGCCCGGGCCCGGCCTGGAAGGCCCGGTAGCAAAAATTTTGTCATTTTGAACCGAATTTTGAGCTCTCAATACAATTTTCTATATATTTTTTGTGCTTTTCGGATTGTTTGTCTGTTTGATCAAAAAATATTTTTTTTAAACCTCGAAAAAAAATCACATAAGGGTCCTCCCTTATGTGATTTTTTTTTGGTTTTTTGAAATTTTCAAAACTTGTGGAATGACAGGCCCGCCGGGCCGGGCCTCCGAAATTCGGGAAAAAGCCCGGCCCGGCCCGTTACAAGTATGTTTTTCGTTGAAAACTGTAGTCCTGTTTAGTACTATTTTGCCACTCTAAAATCGCTAACCCTACATTTTCACAAAAAAAATTTTCAATGAAGCTCTGATTTTGTTTATTATACTCTGAAATTTTTTGGGAACTTGAAAACAACTGGCTTCTTCTTCAGATTGGTTGAAATAACTATTTTGAGTTTTCAAAAATCTGGAAACTATGAAAATTTTTCAAAATTTTCCTGTTTCAATCAGCTTTCAATGTTCTGTAGTTTTGGATTTTCAGTGATATGTAAGTCTTCTATTTCTCTGATTCTGTTTCGTTAAGTTCACAAAAAGTTTGGAATTTTTTAGAATATCGTTAGGCATAGCTTATAGTTTGGAAAGATTCAAAAATTCGGGTAAATTACCGAAATTCCGGAAATGTTCCTTGATTTTTCAGGTACGCATATTTGATGTATCCTAATGACCATAAATCCGGATGTCCCTATCCACCTGTCGACCAGAAAGTCAGCCCATTAAAACAAAAAAAAATCCAAAAAAAGAGTTCAATCATTTTCGATTCATAGTTTGAAAGATTTGGTTGGAAATTGTACAGAAGGATTGAATTATGATGATGATGATGAAAATGATGCCTATTTGGAATAATCGGGGCAGGGCTTAGAGGGGGGCGGAGCTTCGAGTGATTCGGAAGGAAAGCAGTATACATTGAATTTCAATGAAGATTCAAGAAAATTTCGCTAAATAAGAAAAAGTTAATAGAAATAATAGATTTTTCGAGAGGATTCAGAAGTAATAATAATAGAAGATTCTAGAAGCCACGTGGCTCTTCTTTGGTCATGTATAAATGTTTTTGGGGATATGTTGGTGGTGTGCATGGGGTGTACTAATTTTAACGGGGTATGTACAAAAAGGAAATCGGGGGGTTTTGTAGATAAACCGAGGAGGGGGAATATAAAACTAGGAAATTCTGAAAAATTCATCGGTGGGTATTATACTGGGAATCGGAAAATCGGGAGCGGTGGAAGAGGTATGCCGGGAGCCGTGGCCGAAGATTCCGAATTTCAGTTTCTCCCAAAACTACCGTAATCTGTGCCTAAAAGTGCCTTCATCGAGGAAATATCTTTTCAGAGTACGGTAATTTTGGATCTTTTTTATCTCTTTTTTGGGGGAAAATAGAAAAAAATCAAAAATTGGGATCCTCGGCCACGGACACCTCTTCCATGGCTCCTATTTTCAAAATTACAGTAATAATAGAAGGAGGCCGGTAAAATATTATCTATTATAAAGATGGGGGATGATTGAACAGTGAAAATAGCGTAGAAAAAAAGCGAAAAAAAAAATTAAGCTAATATTAGAAGACAAAGAGGAATCAGAAGGCGTTGGAAGCCGCATGGTTTAAATTCTCATCTGGACTGGAGGCTGGTGGAATCTTTGGAAGCACCGCTTCATCATCGTCCTCAACTATTTTGGAGACCGAGTTGTCGTGATGGGCCCAGAGAAGATCGTCGTCGCGCTCGACGATCTGGAAAACGAATGTTCGGAGAAATGGATAGCATGTGCGCTCTATTAGACACTGTTTGAAATATGCGCTCTTTTTAAAACTAGCGCAGTTGGAGAAGGTATAGGATGTGCAATTTCGATCTTGCTAGAGAAATCAACATTTTTCTAATTTTTTTAAATCATTTTGAAGCGGTGGCCTAACTTTCCGAGTTGGGGTTTTCTAGGCCACCATGTAAAAATGACCTAGAATTGGTTTGATATTCACCTGGTGTGTTTTTAAGACCATTACCTTTACCATGTTGACTTAATTTTCGCAACTTGAGTTTTCTAGGCCACCATAGTAAAGTGGCCTAGAAATAGCCTGAAATTCACCTGGTGTTTTCTAGGTCATTCTAACGTGGTGGACTAGAAAACTCATCATGCAAAAGTTAGGCCACCACGTCAAAATGACCTAGAATTGGCCTGATATCCACCTGGTGTTTTCTAGGCCATTTTGAAATGGTGGCCTAGAAAACCCCAACTTGCAAAAATTAGGCCCCTTTTTAAAATGTCTCAAAAATCGAGAAATTCTTGAGAAAATTTTCTAATTTTGAATTAAACAGAAACCGCGCTCTATTGACAAAACGCTCCATACTGTGTCTAGTGGAGCGAAGTTGCACCCCTAGCTTATCAATAAAACACATTTTTACCTTGTTGGCCACCGAAACCGACATCGACCGTCCATAATTAAGACGTCGGGTACCTAGTGGAGTGGTGGATACTGTAGGTGTTGGACGTGTTGGAGCCGAGAAACTCGACGCTCTCTCGTTCCGGACCAACGCATCGTAGAGCTCAACGTCATCGAGAGAGTCGGTCCGTGGCAAGCAGCAGCTCTGGAAAAAAGTCTAAATTTTGAAAAAATCAAAAATTTGGAATCTTTTGAAAAATCTGAAAATCTGAATTTACCTGCGCCGTGCTTCCGAATCTCGAAAACGACGGAAGACGTTGTCTGGGTGCCTCCTCCACAACCGCTTCTACAGATTGCTCATCGTTAATCGAGATGGTGTTGATGGACATTGTCGCCAGATTGATCGAGTGAGCACTTTGGGAGTGGAAGCGAGCTGGAAAAACATGATTTCAGCATGGTGGCCTAATTTTTGATTTTTCTAGGCCACTATGTTATTTGGCCTAGAAATGACCTGGTGTGTTTTCTAGGCCATGTTGAGAAGGTGTCCTAGAAAACTTGACATGCAAAAGTTAGGCTTTTTCTGGGCAATTTTGACAGAATGGCCTAACTTTCTCAACATGATTTTTCTAGGCCACCACGGTTAATGATCTAGAAAAAACACCAGGTGGATATGAGGCTTTTTTTCTAGGTAAATTCCCATGGTGGCCTAAAAAACTCATCTTGGCAAAAGTTAGGCCACCATGGTAAATGGCCTTAAATGAGTTGATATTCATCTGGTGTGTTTTCTAGGCCCCTTAATATGGTGGCCTAACTTTTTCAAGTTGGATTTTTCTAGGCCAGCATGTTGAATGGCCTAGAAATGAATTGATATTTATTTGGTGTAATTTTAAAGCTATTTTAACATGGTAGCCTAGCTTTCGCAAGTTGGGATTTTCTAGGTCACCAGGGTCAATGGCCTAGAAATAGCCTGGCATGTTTCTAGACCATTTTAACATGGCGGCCTAACTTTTCCAAGTTGCGGTTTTCTAGGCCACTATGCTAAATGACCTGGAAATGACCTGACATTCCCCTGGTGAGCTTTCTAAGCAATTTTACCATGGTGTCCTAACTTTTGCAAGTTTGTTTTTCTAGGTCACCATGTTGAATGACCTAGAAAACACACCAGTTAAATATCAGGCTGTTTCTAGCAGGGGTGGGCGAGGTTGGGTGAAAAAACTTCACGTTTTGCATATTTCCCGCGCTTGTTGTGCCATTCGAGATTAAAGGCGCACGCAATCATTCCGATGGGTCTCGAAATGGCGGGAATTTGAATTTTGATTTATTTTTTGACTGCGCGCCGCCGGGTAGTCATTCTTCGCAGCGGCCGACACTTCCCGACTTCCGCGCGCCACTATACTTTGAGTGTGCGATCGCTCCGCCCACTTTCTACGCGAATTGCGTGTGTTTTGCAATTAGTTTCCCGCAAAAGCCGATTGCTCGCCCAGCCCTGGTTTCTAGGCCGTTTTCACATGGTGGCCTAACTTTTTCAAGTTGAGTTTTCTAGGCCACCATGTTGAAATGACCTAGAAAACCCACTAGCTGAATGTCGGGTCATTTCTAGGCCTTCTCACGTGATGGCCTAACTTTCGAGTTTTCTAGGCCACCAACTTTTTTGGCCTAGAAATGACCTAATATTCACCTGATATGTTTTCTAGGCAAATTTAACATGGTGGCCTAACTTTTTAAAGTTGGGTTTTTCTAGGCCACCATGTTAAAATGACCTAGAAATAGGCTGATATTCTTCTGGTGTGTTTTCTAGGCCATTCTGACATGGTGGTCTAACTTTTGCATGATGAGATTTCTAGGCCACCATGGTAAATGATCTAGAAATGGTCCGTCATTGTGTTTTCTGGGCAACTTTAGTTCGTGGCCTAACTTTTGCAATTCAAGTTTTCTAGGTCATGTTGCTGGAATTAGCCAAACACGCACCTTCTAGGCTATGAAGCTCCGCCCATTCTAGCCTGTTAAGCTCCGCCCATTCTAGACTCCGCCCACCCCAAAAAAACTCACTTTGCATCGCCATCATTATCGGATTCTTCCGTGCCAATCTCCACTTCGCGAACACATTATTCCTATGGAACCGGACCACTTTTATCTTATAAAGCCCAAAACCCAGATTCTGATCTCGGAACATTCCAGAGATATCCACAACGAATTCCACGTCATGACTCCAGAGAAGCGGTTGACCGTTGTGATCCGTGTAGCCAGAGTATTCAGCGATCGTGACGACTTCAACGAATCCACTCTGCACGTGCACTTCGAGTTGAGCGACGTCGCCGCGCATGGAGCCGAAATCCACGTGGTGGCCTTCTGGAGGCGAAGGTGGTGAAGGCAAGCTGAGCAATGGGGCCACAGAATCGATTGGAATGGGTAGAGAAGGTGCGGAATTCATTCCATTACACCGTTTCATTTGGAACGCCATGCATCGTCCGATAAGGCTCACTTGACCCACACACGTATTCAGGCATTTTGAGTGGTGGTGATGGGGACGACGTTGACCGGATTCGATGCTCTCGCAGCAGTGGGAACCGCTGGAAATAGGATTTTGGAGCATTTCAGAACTCGAAAATCAGATTTTCTCAAAATTTGAACTTTGAAATTTTTTTTTGAAAAAAAAACTGTTTGACGACCGCAATTTCACATTTTTAGAAACGAAAAAAAAACCATTTTTAGCTCAAAATCAGTCAATTTTCTAGTTTTCAATATCAAAGTTGCTTTAAAATTGGCTTAAAGTGCTCTTAAATAAGTGAAAAAATGATCTTAAAAGCCGGAAATCCAGAAAATTTCAATTTTTTCAGAAAACTACGAAAAAAAAAAAATATTTTTAAGACTTTCAGAAAATCCATAATTTTTCAGCTCGTCGCATTTTTCCAGTGAAAATTTGATCATTTTTGACACAAAATTCAAAATTTTCGTCTTAAAAAACCGATTTTTAATGTCAAAATGCTAATTTTCAAAGTCCGAATTTTGAATTTTTAGCAGAAAAAAATGTGATAAAATTCTTTTTTTAAGGTCCATTAAAATATGTGTATTTATTTTTTTTTAAATTTGAGTTGAAATTAGGTCATTAATGGCGCTAAATTCGAATTTTTCGAATATCCGAAATCTTGAAAATTACGGAAGGAATCTGAAATTCGCGGATTTTTGAAAATTAGTGAAAATTGTTTTTTCTGACACAAAATTCAAAATTTTGGCTCAGTTTTCGACGATTTTCGAGTCAACGCCAGGTGAAAAAATGGAGCGAAATTCAAAAAATTGTTAGAAATTCTGTATTTTGAGCTATTTGAGCTTGAAAAAAGCTAAAAAATAGCTCGAAAATTGTCGAAATTGCGATATTTGAGTTTTCTAAATTTTTTCCCCTCAAATCTCAATTTTTCAAATTTTCACACCTTCTAAAAATGCGAACATCCCTCGGGAAATCCCTACACGACACCAATCTCAAATCCCTTTTCTCCTCGCACTCCTCTCTTGTCACCAAGCCAAAATGCTCCGTTTCTCGAACATTCGCCTCCATCGCCAGCGACAAAACCGCATCGAACTTCTTGATTGTCTCAATTCTCAGCTTCCAAATCCCCTCAGAACTACACTTGATCGCAGTGACAGTGCACAGAAGACGTCCGATTTGTCGACGTGGCAAGTGTGGTTCGTCATCAGAATCCACAACGATGCCCAGGACATCATTGAAGACTGCAGGGGTACGGTACTCGCGTTCTTGATATGTAAAACATCCGCTTGTCAGTGCGGAACATGCAATAACGTGTTTTTTAAGACGATCGTCGAATTCCAGCTTCAACTGGGTCCATTTATTATTCTGAGCCTTTGTGAGCATGTATATGCGACGAACTGATGATACACGAATTTTTCGAGATTGCGAGCTGCAAAAAATCAATTTTTCTCCGAATTTGAGTTTAGAAACCCCTACTCAGCACTGAAATTCCCATTGAGAACAGTTCCGAACTGCAAACCGTTCCTGCCGAAAGTTCTCAACGAAATTAGTGGAACTGTCGCCTCGAAAAGGGTCTTTTGATAGGAAACAATGTATACATCTGAAAAAATGAATTAAAACGGCTTAAAATGGTTGAAAGCTAACAATTCGTTGAATTCTTCGAAATCAGGTCTAGCACCAGGAACTCCTCGAACGCGTGCTCGCTGATAAACTCGTTGTTGGTTTGTTGCCACATTTTCCAGCCGATTCTTGGCAGGGAATCGGCGGAAAATCGCTGAAAAAAGATCTGAAAATTATGAGTAAAAACAAATTTCGAATATTTTTGCTGAGGGGTACGGTAGATGAGAAATTGTGTGATAAAGACACCACGACGGGAAAATGCACAGATTTTGAAATCAAAGTTTTTCAAGTGTTTGGATAAGCGGAAAATTAGAAATTTGAACTTAAAATATTAGAAGAAAATCCCGGAAAATAGAAAAAAGTCCGAAATTTTCGATTTTTTGAAATTCAAAGAATTTTCTTCATGTTATAAATACAGACAAATTCAATTTTTAACAGTTAAATAGAGTATGATTCGATTTGAAAATTATTTTTAAAAGCTTTTTTTTTCAATTTTCAGTATTCAAAAGCTTTCTTTTTTCTGCATTTTTAGTCAAAGTTGTTCACTAACGACCTATTTATATCGATTTCTTTCTAAATACCCTAAAATTTCCCCCAAAAATCTAAAAAAACAAGAAGTTCCCGCAGACTTTCAAACTTTCCCCTTCAACTTCAAACTTCGCGGCGTCACGAGACGGCGGTGGCCTAGAAACCTCCGCCTCCTCGGCCACCTCTTCCACCGTTTCGAAGCGAATTTTTGCAACGTTTTTTCATATTTTTGACCCGTTTTTATCGTTGAAAACCCCGAATTTTTCCATTTTTTAGGTGGAAATGGTTGAAGAAAATCAAGAAACTCCTCTAGAAGTGGCGTCGGACCCACAAATCACCGATTCTGAACTGCCAGAGGCTCCAGAAAATGAAAAAAATGAAAAATCACTAAGGACAATTACAGTTCAAAATCTAAGACATCCGGGTGGTTATTTGAGTTCCAGACAGGTAGAAATATCGTGTTTTGTGTATTTTGTAGCCTAAAATTTCATAAATTTCAGTTCCAATCCCTTCTAAACAAATCTGTCGAGTTTCAAGCCAAATTCTCGCGGCCAGAAGATTCAGATGAGCGTCAAATCAAGACTGGAAGCATTGAAATTGTATTTGCCACGTTTGAAACCGCCCGTGACGCCTACACAAGCCTTCAGAAGATGGCCATCGATGGGTATAGGCCGGAAGCTCTGGTGGACTCGAGATTTTGTAATTTTATTGATATTAGCATTTAAAGAACATGATTATTTCAAATTTTAAGTATCAACGGAGCTCTCGACACCTTCCAAACGTCAATTCTTCGAGATTTCCAACGATTCTCGGCTCGTTTTCCTTCTGGACGCTCCTAAATCCCTTGATTTGGATATGATTTCATATTTCTTCAAAGATGAACGCCCAATTCACTTTCAAATTCTTCCAATGCCTACTGGAAATGGGTTGTACCAAGTGGAGGTGCTGATGAGCAGTCGAGAAGTGGCTGAAGAGATTTTGGCGAGAGAAGAAGCCACATTTTCGATTTCCGATGAGGATGGGGATTATGTGGTGACGTAAGTAGACAAAAATCCAAAATTTATGAAAATCAGTCCTTAATTTATTTAAAATGTTCCAAAGGTCATCAAAAATGTTCTAAAAACTTGAAAAATGGTCCGAATTTGGTTTAAACTTGTCCAAAATTCATCAAAAATGACCCGAAAATCATGAGAAATGGTCCAAGGTTTATGAAAATAGTCCAAAATTTATAAAAAATTATCCGAAATTTGATAAAAAATGGTCCAAAAATGTTGGAATGTCTCTAAAAACTGTCTGAAACAATGTTCTAAATTCGTCAAAAATGTTCTAAAAACCTGAGAAATGGTCCAGATTTGGTTAAAAATTGTCAACAATTTCACAAAAATTGTCCGAAATTTAATGAAAAATAGTTCAAAATTCATGAAAATCAGTTCCAAATTCATCGAAAATAGCCAAAATTCATTTTAAATTATCCAAAAATCCAAAGACATCGTCCAAAATTCGATAAAAATGGTCCAAAATCTATCGAAATGGTCCAAAATCCATCAAAAACGGTCCAACATTTATCAAAAATGGTACGAAATCTATCAAAACTGACCTAAAATTCAATGAATATGGTCCAAAATCCATTAAAAAATGTCAAAAAATCCATTAAAAAAGCTTCAAAATTCATAAAAAAAATAGTGCAAAGTTCATTAAAAACGATCCAAATAATATCGAAAATAGCACCAAATTTAATAAAAATGGTCAAAACACCCATCGAAAATGGTCCAAAAGTCACGAAAATTAGTCCCCCAAATTCATTAAAAATGACCCAAACTTCATTCGAAAATGGTTCAAAATCCATTAAAAATCCTCCAAAATGCACCATAAATCGTCCAAAATCTATCGAAATGGTCCAAAATTCTAAAATAAATGTCTGAAATTCGTGAAAAGGTGACAGAAATTCGTCACGAGGTGTCCAAATTTCAATACAACGACCCAAATCCGTCAAAAATGGCCCAAAATTCATCAAAAATGACCGAAAATTCATAAAAAATAACTCAAAATCCATTTTAAAATTCCAAAATGTAGTAAAAACAGTTGAAAATGCCTCCAGAATCGTCCGAAAATTCGAAAAATAGTCTTAAATTTTGTCTGTAATCCCCCAAAAATCCAAAATCCTTCTTTCCAGACTCCTGAGCCCTCGTGAATACGGTCTCTACTCGAAAATGGACGATATCCGCGCATCGACAACGTCCCGTTCATCAGCTCCCGCTGTAATTCCACGTGTCACACCATCATCTGAATCTATCGGTCAACTGGCTCCAGAAATCGACGAAGACGTCGTTTTGAAGCGTCTTCTAGAGATTATCGCCGAGGAAAATTTGAATTTCGGAGAAATCGAAGAAATTCACGCCAAGGATGAGCTCTACAGACTCTGTGATAGGGTTTCGGAGGAATACGATGGAATTCCGGATTCAATTTTGAAGCCAGCAATGGGAACGGCACTGCAACGTCATCTGAATCAGACGGAGTTGCATTGGATGCGGAATCAGATAGAAGGATTGCTCAGAATGTGGAAACTGGAGATTTTGAATGAGGAAATTTATAAAAGAGAGACGATGGTGGAAATGAAAGCAGCCAATTATCAGCCGGTGTTCGAGGCGGAGAAGAAGGAAACCAATAGTAAAGGGTAGGAGAAATTCTAGAAATTTCTGAAAATTGAAAACCCAGCTTTGAGCCAATTTATCTAGGTTACTGTAAGAGGTATCAAAAAGGGGTCAACTGGCTCAATCAGGCTCAAAATTAGGCTAAAATTTTGGGCTCAGATAAGCTCAAAATTAGGCAGACTCTAAATTAGGCTCAAAATTAGGCTCAATTAGGCTAAGAATTTAGGATCAATATTCGGCTCAATTAGGCTCAAAATAGGGTTAAAATTGAAGCTTAAAATTAGGCTCAATTAGGCTCAATTGAGTTCAAAAAATGAGGCTCAAATTAGGTTCGAAATTAGGCTTAAAAGTAGGATCAATTAGGCTCAAAGTTAGGCTTAAAATTAGGCTCGGAATAGGGCTCCAATTATTCTCACTTAAGCTAAATTAGACTCAATTAGACTTAAAATTAGGCTCAAATTAGGCCTAATAAGGCTCAAAATTAGGCTCGGAAATAAGCTCAAAATTAAGCTCAATCAATCTCAAATTAGACTCAATTAGACTTAAAATTAGGCTCAAATTAGGCCTGAATAGGCTCAAAATTAAGCTCAATCAATCTCAAATTAGACTCAATTAGACTTAAAATTAGGCTCAAATTAGGCCTGAATAGGCTCAAAATTAGGCTCAAATTAGACTTAATTATGCTCAACTAAACTCAAATTTAGGCTCAAAAATAGGCTTTAATTAAGCTCAAACTAAGCTCGAATTAGTCTCAAAATTAGGCTCGAACATGGAATCAAATTAGACTCAATATTACGCTCAAATGAAGTTCAGAATTAAGCTCAAATTAGGCTCAAATTAGGCTCGAAAATAGACTCGAAAATAGGCTTAAAATTAGGCTCAAATTAGGCTTAGAATTAGGCTCAAAAATCGGCTCAATTAGGCTCTAAATTAAGCTCAAATGGGGGTCAATTAGGCTCAATTAGGCTAAAAATTAGGCTTAAAGTTAGGCTTAAATTAAGCTCAAAGCAGGGTCAATATGAGGCTCAAATTAGGCTCACAATAAGGCTCAAATAAGACTCGAAATTTAGGCTTAAAAGTAGGCTCAATTAAGCTCAAAATTGGGGTCGCATAAGGTTCAGAATTAAACTCAAATTAAGCCCCAAAGTAGGCTCAAAGTTAGGCTCAGATTAGTCTCAAATTAGGCTGAATTAGGCTCAAAAATAGGCTCCAAAATAAGCTAAAATTAGGCTCAAGTAGACTCAAAGTTAGGCTCAGACATAGGGCTCAAATGAGGCTCGGCTCAAAAAAAAAATTTGGTTAGAAAATTTGTGTCAATAAATATGGGAAATTTAGGCTTTAAATTTTGAGCCTCATTTTAAGCCTAATTAAGTCTAATTTGAGCCCAATTTTGAGCCTAATTTGTAGCCTAATTGAGCATACTTTGAACCTAATTTTGACCCTAATTTTGATACTAATTTTGAGCCTAATTTGAGTCTAATTCAAGCCTAATTTTTAGCCTAACTGAGCCTAATTTTGATCCTGATTTTTGACAGAAAATTTCTGTCAGAAATTCGATTTTCCAGTGACAAAAACTCCCCTCTTCCAACCCAAACATTCCATTTTTCAGCGCTCAAAAACGTCAAAAAGCGGCACGCGCTCAAATGGGCGTTGGCGCCTTCTTGACCGCGCACCGCGATCGTTTGATCGTCGAATCAGGCGACGTCGAAATGGATTCAGACGACGATGGAAACGTGATGATTGGCGGCGAGGCGTTGAGCTTCGACTCATGGGCCCGCATCACAAAAACCAAGGCGAGCGGTGTGGTTCGAGCGAATGAGGATGGATCGAAGAAGATTGGAAATGGAGGTCTGACGAAGAAGCAGATGAGACAGGCACGGTTGGTGGAGGGGATGAATCAGGATGAGTATAAGCAGTGGAGAAAGGAGAAGAGCTCGGCGAGAAAAGCGGATATTAAGCAGCGAATTATGGCGAGAGGAGCGGTGATTGAAGGTGAAGAAGGAGAAGAAGGCCACGTGGATTCTGAAGCTGTGGCTGCTCCAGCTCCAGCCACGTCATCTGCTCCAGCAGCCCCACCAGTCAAAAAAGACCTGGACGAAGGAGAAATCGATTCGGATGAAGAGCGAAAAGAAGCGGCTCTTACCAAAAAGCCTCCTGCCACCAAACGACACGCCACATCAGACTCATCTGAATCCTCGACGTCATCATCATCAGAAGAAGACCCAGATGGACCAATCGACGCCAGAAAACGAAGAAAGATGAGACGAAAGAAGGATCGGAAGCTGCCACGTGCGGCGATGACGACGTCGACGACGCCACAAGTGAATTTGGAATTCAGGCAAATGTTTGAGAATCGAAAAGCGATTATTGCGCAAATGTCGCCGGCGCATAAGGCCGCGTTTGCGAGTGCGTTGAATCAGGTTAGTGTTGTTGAACCTCTATTAGAAAGGCCCGGTTCTACCTGATGTGTTTTCTAGGTCATTTTACGATGGTGGCCTAACTTTTGCAAGTTGAGTTTTCTAGGCCATCATGATAATAGACCTAGAAATAAGCACATATTCACCTGGCGTGTTTTCTATGCCATTTAACATAGTGGCCTAACTTTTGCAATGTTGGGTTTTCTAGGCCATCGTAGTTGATTACCTAGAAATAGCTCGATATTCAGCTGGTGTGTTTTCTAAGTCATTTTATCATGGTGGCCTAAATTTCTCAAAAGCATTTTCTAGGCCACCATGGTGAATTACCTAGAAACGACCTAATATTTGTCTGGTGTGTTTTGAGCCACTTTAACATGGCAGCCTTATTTTTGCAAGTTGAGTTTTCTAGGCCACTATGATAAATGACCTAGAAATGACATGATATTCAACTGGTGTATTTTCTAGGCCATTTCAACATGCTGGCCTAGCTTTTGCAATTTGAGTTTTCGAGGCCACCATTCTGAGATGACCCGGAAAACACACCAGGTGGATATCAGGCCAATTCTAGGTCATTTTGACGTGGTGGCCTAACTTTTGCAAGTTGAGTTTTCTAGGCCATCATGTTGAATGGCTTAGAATTGGTCTAAAATGCACCCGGTGTAAAAATCGAAAAACTACAGTAATCCATTTTCCATATCTTTTCAGATCGCTCAAAACAACGGCGGTGCCCAAGCGAAAGCGTCTCAGGTTATCACTTCGATGATGTCTGGATTCAAATAATTTGTCATTTTTTGTATCAATTTCTTCTCCATTTTCCCCATTTTTCCCTAATTTTCTTCCGTAGGATTTTCCATATAAATCACCTTTTTTTTGTTTCTCATCGACTTCTTCACAATTTTCTCATTTTTCCTAGAAGTTGCCATGTTTTCTCTTTCTGACTCAAAACGTCTGACTGTCCCCCGTTTCCCAATTTGATCTTTAATTTTTTGTGTTGCCTCTGGGTTATTTATTTGAATTTTCTATTTTGTTTTGCGTATTTTAATCTACAGTAGTCCCTCTCCACCATCAATTAATGAATCATCTTGATGCTTCTTCATACACGCGTAAGAATTATTTATAATGTAGCAGAAGACCTTTTTAATTATCCAACCTCCTTCTGCCCCCCCCCCAATTTCTTAAATTTTATAGCTTATCGAAGAAAAATTTGATGGTCCCGAAAAAGAAGAGGACCCTCTGGAGACCCCATTTGGTTAGACAGATTGTGATCTAGTGGAGGACACTTATTATTAGGATGTGTATGATGTATGAGAATTTGAGCTTGAAGGGCACTATTTGTTTGATATTCCAATTGGGCTGTTAATATTTTGGAAGTCAGAAATTTGAATTATAAGTGAAGAATTTGAGTTTTCTACTTTTCAGAAAAATATCTAGTAAAAAAATTACGGTTTCAGAAAATCGATATGATTGTAATAAGTTAGTCCGGTTGTTCGGCAGACAGGTTATTTAAAAAATCCAATTTCCCCTGCGGCTTGTAATTCGAACTGCAATACTTTTTTGTTCAGCAGATCGCGGTTGCTAGCTTTTTTTGTTGAAAAAATATTTGCTCTAGAAAACTGGTAAAAGCAACTTTCAGCATATAACTAAAAATATTTTCCGTTTCAGAAAGCCAATTTAATTGCAATTTCCTTTAAGTCATTCAATGTTTAGTTCTTATAGAGACTAAAAAACTAAAATGCAAAATCTGAACAGACCTTACTTTTGATTTTAGCAGGTTTCGAAACGAAAACTACCGTAACCAGAAAAATATGCGAATTTTCTCATGTTCAAAAGCTCTCGATTATAAATAATTTTAGGCTCGTATTTTTGTTACTTTCATGAAACAGTGAAATACAGACAATGTCATATTTTCACAAACACAGCTTTATTTCTACGATTCACAACTTTTACCTCAAATTTTATTTTATTCGTATATGAAACCAAAAACAATTACAATGATTAGCATTGAAATGAGAATTGGCTTTGTTAAACTCGTTAAAAAAGTTGTCAACTTTACAGCTTCATTCATGTTTTATAGACGAATTCACTTTTTAGTATCAATTGTTATGGGACCGTTCGAAAATATTGGTTTTTGAAAGTTTTCCTGATTCATATCATTTCTAAACGCAAAACTGCGAAACGCGCTCTACCGCAAAAAATATTTCTAATTCGAAGAATTTAAAGAAAAAAAGTTTTTTTCAGAAAATTAATTCAATTGCGATTTACTATAAGTCAATCACTGTACTTCTACCAGACCCTAACATTAATGCAAACTCTTAACAGCCCGAAACTGTAATGCTCTGTATGTCTCGGAACGGAAAGAACCGTATTCCGAGCATTTTTTTGATCCATATGCTTAACGATTACATTAACGATTATATTAAAGAGTACAATTCTAGGCTCCTTTTTATAGACCATCATGAAACAGTACCGGACAGAAAACATTTTGTCCTTGTCATTGGTAGATAGGCAATGTTGGAGTTCCACAAAAGTATTACATAATTGTGTTATTTGTCTGAAAATCTGAAAATACACTAAAATTAAAAACAGATTTATTGTTAAGATTCGCAAATTTTTCGTCGAATTTCATCCTGAAGAGATATGCCTCTTGAAACATAAGCATATCTTGTACTCGAACTTTAAGCTCTATTATCTCGGGTCCTATAAGATAAATAAATATTTTGTCAACTGATGAAATGTTGGCGACATTATGACAAACATTGTTTCATTTGACAGATTCTTGATATCTCTCACAGAAATTGAGATAATTGAGCTCAAATTTGATAGTGTTGAATTGCAAAATTTACTGTATCAGTCATTGCTTTTCTCTTCAAAACTTCTTCAACTTTGATTGTCCTTTGAAGTCCCTTTCTAGGTTTCTGTATTCAATACACATTCAAGAGTTCATATTTGTCATTACAACGTCCCCCTCCTCATCCACATCTTCACAAGAGAGCATCTACGCAACCATCATTCACCCATTCTATTTCCTCATTGCGCAATATCTCATTCATTGTGCGCTCACACACACTGTACACTCCATTCGGAACCTCTTACCAACCTTCCGAGATTTGAATTATAATTGGGACCTTTCTACCTTTTTCGAGAGGGAGAACGAGGGTTCTGTATTCAATTAGTTACCGGATGAGAGAGCACACCGGCTCTTTTCACTAATCGGACACCGCATTTGGCAGGGAAGGTGAATAGGATTATCAGGAAAGAGAGTGCTGGCTAATGAGGTGGCTTAGGATTTAGGTACCCCCACATGGACAAAATAAATCATCCAGATGCGTTTCGAAGGATTTTTTGAAAAGGAATAAGGTTGTTCTTGGCAGGACCCTATTTATTTGGGTTACTGTAAGATGTATCAATAAGTGTTCAACTAGCAAAATATAGGTGACCAGAAGGCTGGTGCGCCTTCGGCGCGATTCAATTTAGTTTTTTACTGGTTCGTGGCTCCGCTACTCAATTATTCTTGAAGGGTCACGTAAATTTATACTTAATTTCCAAGTTTTTCAAAATTTGACAGACTGACACGAGGACGGACAGACGCCTCTAGCTTTTTATATATAAGGAAGATATTATGATACACATTTTGTTTATATCCATCAGGAGTAGTCTAGTCACAAACTTGCCAATAAAGGTGGGGGGACAGGAGATTTTACGGGGGATTTTTGGGGCCAGAGTATGCATTCTACCGTGACGGTGTACAACGCTTAACGCCACTCTGCGTACAGCTGTCGTCCTCACCTTTATGTATGCAATCGGGCGACCGCTTTCTCTTTGCCCGTGTAGCTCAGTCGGTAGCGGCGCCGCACCCTCAATCCTCGCCCCACACGTTCAACACCTCGAGGGGCATATTTAAACGAAATTTCGAGAACATTTTTTTTTTCATGTCCCCCCACCTATAACAGACCGAATTCCAGATATAAACATATGTAGTTCATGAAACAGTGCATTTTTAGAAATAATGAAATCATGTCAGATACAGTAAATTAATAGAATCTCTCATTAGCTTTCACCTTTGAACCAATTTATCTAGGTTTTTGTGATATTTTCTATTTCACATTTCCGTATTGGGTTTAAATCTAAATTTCAAAAAAAAACCTGAAAATTACATGAATCAAGATCAGCACCTGTACATTGAGCTCAATTATTTCGGCTATTTCAAAAGATATGTGACATCTGTCAACTGATAAACTATTTCTCACAAGGTCACCAACATTTTATCAGTTGACAGATTTCTGATATCTCTTATAGGAACACAGATAATTAAGCTCAAATTGCAAGTGGGCTCCTAGTAGAGCATTTTTTGTCTCCAAAGAATAAAAAACTTTGAACAAGTTCAAAAAACTATTAGTAAGTTTTTGGAAGACGTCGGTCTGATATCTCCGAACATCAGAAAACATTGAGATTTCTTGATTCAAAATCAAAATTTCACTGAATGTTGATAGTTTAGAAGGTATTTCTAAATTATGGGAAACGTTGTTTTTTTTCTAGTTTTGAATTTCTCAAAAATCTAGGATTCGAATCAGATATTCGCTAAAAACCTGAACAAAAAGGGTAAAATTTCGAATATCAAGTGAATTGCGATAGAAATAAATTTTCTTTAAAAAAATTATAAAACCACACAAGACGTGTAATCAAGTACCCTAAAAACAAAAGAATTTGAAAACTTCTTGGAACAGTTTTTAAAATTGTTTCCATAACTTCGAAAATCCTAAAAGCAGTTGTTGGTTTCAGATGTGAGAGAAAAAGCAATTTGGGCAACATTGAAAAGCATCGAATATGACTGACATTGAGAATACAAATTTTTTTTTCAAATATTTTTGATCAAACAGACAAACAATCCAAAAAGCACAAAAAATATAAAAAATTGTATTAAGAGCTCAAAATTCGGTTCAAAATGACAAAATTTTTGCTGCCGGGCCATCCGGGCCGGGCCCGGGCCTTGAAATTTTCCTCAGGCCCGGGCTTTGGCGGGCCGGCCCGGAATTTCACAAGTATGGAAATAAAACATAAACGTTTTTACTTTTCAGTTCCTAAGCTTCAGTTCTGATATTCGAAGGTTATTTTTGGGATCATATAATTTTTTTAATTACCTAACAGAATTTCAATGTTTGGAAAAAGGACTGTTTCGTCAATTACATGTCTTTATGTGTGCACTTCAGACTGTTGATTATCTCTTCTTTTGGAGGATCTCTTCTTTTCTGAAACTATCAATTAAAGTATAGTAATTTATAACACAATTTAAAAAGCTTATGTTTCGAACCGAGGAAACCGAACAATCTGTAATGGAAAGGTTCCGTGGTGTCCACTTTGACCTAATTTATCTCGGTTTCTGTAGATGATATGACAAATGCATCAACAGATAAAATTTTTTGTGACATTATGGTAAACATTTTGTCAGTTGAGTTCTTTTTGATACCTTTCATAGGAACCGAGATAAATTGGCTAAAAAAGTGCACACCTCGTGAGAGGTCCTTCTAATACATGTTTCGAAACATTTTTAGTTTCAAAACCATGACTTGTTCACTACAGTTTTTATGTATCTAGTAAATCGCGAATGAGTTCTATTTTCCCTATTCTACAGTATCCAAAGTGTATCCAAAGTGTATATAAATATCTGCCCGATTGTTGATCCCCTCACCACCATCGCAATGTGTGTATATCCACTCTAAATGAGGTGTCCTATTGCACTTAGCACCCCCACCCCTAATAAAACAAAGAACGAACATATCCGAGATTTGAATGTTATAGTCACATTTATTACTTTTTCTTAAGTCATTTCATTTTACATCAAGAATGATAACAAGAGAGACCAATGGGGTACAAAGACAGGGGGAAGAAGACAGGGGGAGGAAAATAATTTAAAGGGACATATGGGAATTTAGACACATGGTGCAGTGGTTTCCTGGTTGATACCGTACTTTCTGATGTTGAAGTTGGAGAAGATGAGTCCGACGGCCGAGGCGACTGGATCGAAGACAGCGTGCACGAGCCAGTTCCACAATTTGGCCAAAAGGTTTCCAGGAATTGAGATGAGCTTTCCAAATGGCACAATGACGAACACATTGACGGCGGCGAAGAATCCAAAGAAGATGGCGAAGAGAAGTGTGAATGGAAGAGCCAGGATTGTGAAGAAACGGTAGACGAACAGGCGAACCCAGTTGAAGACACTGGCGTTGAGACGCCACATGAATTCCCAAGTGTGTTGAGAGTCGGCCTCGCCGAAGATGTCGTCAAAGTTGTGCTGGACGTGGTTGTTGAGTCCATTGTGGTCGCGGTTGACAAAGTCCATGCCGATGGCGATGTGGTCTTCCTGGAAGGAAAAAAATTGGTTAGTTGGTTTATCTAGGTGGGTATAGGTGAGTCTAGATGAGTCTAGATAAGTTTAGGTGGGTCTAAGAAAATCTAAATAGGTTTAGAAAGGTTTAGAAAGGTTTTAAAGGGTCTAGAGGGAAGCGAATACTAGCCTAGATGGGTTAAGCTAGCTCATATGAGTCTAGACAAAGTTAGAAAGGTCTACAACAATAAAACATGGAACTGAAAAGGTCTGGAATGGTGCGAAAAGGGTTTAGCTAGGTTACTATGGACCAACTCACCAATGCAGGTAGATCTAGAAGGATCTAGATGGGTTAGAAATATGCGAAATAGCCATAAGGTCAAATTAAGATTCAATACATTTTGCACTGTTTCACATAGGCCTTATGAAACTGCTAATTTCATGTGCTATGTTAATCTTCTCTTTAGCTATGCTTAGTTACTCGAATATCTCTAGAGGACCCCATACTTAACCCACTACCCTCAAAGCAGAGGCTCCACCCCTACGTCCAACTTTTGCTCACCTTCTGCTCATTCTCGCACTTCTTGGTCTTGCACTTTGACCACCATCCCATCTTCTTCTCTTTCAGCGGCTTCTCCTCAGCATCGCCAGCAGCGGCTCCCTCCTCAACATTGGCCTCGTCAACGGAAGCAGCAGCCTTCTTCTTTCCAAATTGGAACCAGTTCTTTTTTGGCTTTGGCTCTTCTGGAGCAACGACGGCGGCTGCTTCAGTGGTGGTCTCGGCTGGGGTCTCGGTGGTGGCGGTGAGTGGAATCTGCTCCTCGGTCTTGATGGCTTGTTCGGTGGACATGGTGATGACTGGAAAATTTTGGGATTTGAAATTAGAAATAGGGATACGGAGGAACTGTAAAGATGAGGAGGTACGCAATGGCGCATTCAAACGAAAGATACAAAAAACCAATAATGGGATAGGACAAACAAAAGAAGAAGAAGAGGTCACCGTATCTCGTTGTATGTGTGCATACGCAATGAACAACGTTGGTCCATCACCCCCAATACACCCCCAACGCATACCCCCGCCCCTTCGCACTGTGTCCACCCTTGGCAACGTGCCAAGCTCCGCCCACTCCTGTGTGCTCTCTGGGGGGATAAAGAGGGGTGTCTGTTGGGGTGGACTGGAGAGGATTATGAAGAGACAACAGACGGAGGATTTGGAACCTAGCGAGGGGGAAATTCGAATTTCGTGGGTAGGGGAATGGGTGGGTAGGTTCAGAGAATATGGGCTTGGAAATAAGGCAGCCAGAAAAGCAATGGCGTTTACAGTTTTTTATATCTCTTCTAGTTTTTTCAGTGCGCCCAAAATCAAGGGGGGGGGGGGGGAGATCTTAACGATATTGGGCTACTTTTTCAGTACTCCAAAGTTGACTGTTGCTTAAAAAAGTTGACTGTCTACTTAAAAGATTTTAGTTGATTTGAAAATTGTGAAACCGGGAATTTTCGAACGTTTCCAATTTCTTTTTTAAAATTGTATACTTGTCTCTTAACATTAGTGCAATTAGCACTGAAGTGTTCTACAAAAAATGTGTCAGTTACAAAAATAAAGCACTCACTAATTTCAGTATACCTTGTTTGAGATTTTCAGAAAAATTGATAACTCCTTGGATATTTTTTCAGGACTCTAAAGTTGACTATTTTCCACTGAAAATGAAAATGTATGATATCTTTTTGTCCGGTATTGAAGTGTGCATTTGGGATCTAAACTTGGTAGTAACGACGTGGAGTAATCTATTGCATGATTTGAAAGTTATGAAACAGGGAATTCTCAAAGTTGCCGTAATATCAGTGAAAAAAGATAATCTTCTCAATGGTTTTTCAAGAATAAAACATAAAAATATCAGGATTGTGAAGCAGAAATCTTTTCAATAGGTTATAATTTTGAAATTAACGGTCAATAGAAATACGTATATGTACAGCTGGTGAAACAACTTTAGATGACAGTATAAAAAATGGGATATATGCAATTTTTAGACAAATTGAACTGTTCAAGATTACTTTTCAGGAAAAGTGCTAAAGTTGTGAAATTTTGTTTCCTAGTGTTATTTTTGATTGTAAATCGAATGGCGTTTACAGTTTTTTATATCTCTTCTAGTTTTTTCAGTGCGCCCAAAATCAAGGGGGGGGGGGGGGGAGGTCTTAACGATATTGGGCTACTTGTATACTTGTCTCTTAACATTAGTGTCTTAACATTAGTGCAAAAGATATTTCTCTCAATGCTATGTCAAGAATACACAAAAAAAAATCAGAATTGTATTGCAGGGCTGTTTTAACAAACAAACTATTGGAATTTAAGTACAACAGAAATACCCATAGAGCTAGTGACACAGAAATTTTTGGCGGAAAAAAAACGGATTTATGCCATACTTGTGAAATTCCGGGCCGGGCCTGAGGAAATTTTCAAGGCCCGGTATCAAAATTTCTGTATTTTTAAGCCAAATTTTGAGCTCTCAATATAATTATCTCCATTTTTTGCTTTTTTGGATTGTTTATCGAAAAAGATCGAAAAAACTCGAAAAAAAGATTTTGATCGAAAAAAATCACATAAGGGTCCCACCTTATGTGTTTTTTGAAAATTTCAAAAATGACGGGCCCGCCGGGCCTTCGAAATTTGGAAAAAAAGGCCCGGCCCGTTACAAGTATGATTTATGCAATTTTTAGACAAATCGAAAAATTATGAACTACTTTTTTAGGACTCCAAAGTTGACTATTTTTCGCAGTAAATGACAAAGTAAGATATATTTTTGTCCGGTGCTGTAATTTACAATTTGCAATTGAATATGAAGCTACGATTAAAGCAACGACTTATTTGTCGATTTGAAAATTATCAAATCAAACAGAGAATTTTAGAATGTTCCGAGTTTTACATTTTTATTTTATACTTGTCTCTAAACATTAGCGGAAAATGATCGTGTTCCCAATGCTTTTTAAAACATACGGCACACAAATATTATACTTGTGAAGCAGTAATGGCCCTCATGTCGCGGTAATGGCCCTCATGTCGCGGCCCGGCCGAGTTCATAACCCAAAATTTTATCTTCCATAAATTTTCCTTTGTGAAACATTTTGTGAAAAAAGTTCAAAACCCAAATTTTTTTTCGGTTTCAACTTTGTATTTAATTTATAGTTTTCATGGTTTTACATCCCTTGTTGTTTGAAATTGAAAATTTCCGTACGTCATCAGTGAAAAATATTCCGGAAATCCCGCAATTTCACAGTAATCTTTTGAACTTGTTCAGTGAAATTGATAGATTTTCATACATTTTGAACAAAAGTTCACCGGTTCTCTTTGAAAAGTTTCGGGAAAAAAATGTTGGATAAATCGATGGGGTTCTTCTAATTGAAGAGCCTCTGTAATAAAAAAATTCTCAACGATTTTTCGAAACAATAGAAGAACTGGCTCCATCAGGTTTTACGGTATGTTAAAACCTAATTTCCGAAAAACCCTGTTTCAGGAATTTCATATTTGGCAATCAATTTACTTCAAACTACTGCTTGGAATTTTTTCTGTTTCAAACTGCTTGGAATTTTTTCTGTTCCATAAACATTTTGAATTTTCATCGAAGTGTTCAATATATGATATGTTGTTCCAATTCTTGACTCCACAATGTTAATGTTTATTCTTTTGGAAAAAAGAAATACTCTTTTGTTAGTTAAAAACACTCCAAATTTTTTTTTCTGATTCAATTATGTGTTTAGTACATAGTTTTCATGATTGCTACTTTTTGTGCCATACTTTTGTAGAATTTCAAGTTGCTTTTTTTAATGCTATTTCAATGCTTTTTTTTGCTTTTGTTAATGCTATTTCAAATTTAACACAGAATTTCACTACTTCCACTTATGTTTCCCCATGTTTTCTGTTTCACCAACTTTGTAAATTGAGACTGATTTTTTATATATAATATGTCGTCGACTTCATTTTCGAGCTAGTTTTATTTAGGTTTCATTCACCAATTATCAGGATAATCACCCTGACCCAGTTACCGACAATATATCGATAAGAGAAACAATTATAGGCAACAGAAGGTAAACAAGGGGCCGCTATCAGCTTATCAGTATATCTACGTGTTGAATAACCATGGCGGCGAGGGAACTGGAAATAAAGAGAGGATGTATGTAATTTGTTGTTTGGAGCCCCAACAAATGCGCAAATAATCACCAGGTACCGACCTTCTGATAAGAAAAGTGATAAGGAATAACAGGAAGAGGTACACAACGTTAATGGGTACCGTTATCAGTGTGGTTGTAGGGACCTGCATTTCTGGGATCAATGAATGTATGTAGTGCTAATAGAAAGACGTTAGGGATTCGAATTGGGTATTCAATACCATCAAACTACAAGTGAATATTACCATAAACAGTTAATATCTCAGAACATTGTTGAATCTGAATGTGAATCAGCGACATTTGAGCAAAAATCATCCCTGAGAAGGTGTTATTTTTGTAATTTTGTAATAGACCAAAATTGTGAAACGTTAGAGGTACTGCAAATGTTGCAATAGAACGCCACCCAGGACTTGTGTTTGGAGCTCAAGTTTCTGTAAGAGATATAAAAAACTGTAAACTGCAAAAATGTTGGTGATATGATGAAAAACATTTTATCAGTTGAAAATACGAGATACGGTATCAAGTGCGCATGCTTTAGCTATTTTAGCTGCTAGATCGACGATGCACCGTTTAATGAAATTCGATAATTTCAATCGATTTTATCATTCCAGAACTAATTTCAGAACTTTGATGGGAAATTAGATAATTGAGCTCAAAGGGTAATCACGGTAGAGCATCCTATTAGATTGATTGTGGTATGCACCATCCCTATTTAAAACTTAGATTTTCTCTGTTTCTGTAAACTTGTATACGAGTGAATTTGATTTTTATTGCAGTGAAGATAGTCTCTCTTTGATGTATCGACTTTTCTTTGAAATAGCTCCACGGTTCAATTTTTGGACGTTTTACCGCAAAAATAAGAAATTTTACAGTTTTCTGAAGCCAACACTCATGCAAGGATCATTAGAACTGTCACACTTCTCACAATTTATCTGTGCTAGGTGAAACCGGTAAACATCATAAAAGGAGAATAAGGACATGACAAACATAGTTTATAGTGACCGCTATCAGTAGAGTTACATGGATCAATATTTGTGACTAATTAACATTAATTGTGTTAGAGATTGATCTAGAAAGTCCCTTATTTTTATTTTTCATTGCCAAATAACATTTTTCTTTTCGACAACTTGTTTTTATTTTAAAAGATTTCACTGTTCCAGTGGTATCGGAAATTGATTAGTAAGTCTCTTCTGTTAATGCATAGTGTTTTATTGCAGGTAATTTGTTGTTTGGAGCCCTACTAAACGCGCAAATAATCACCGTTAACCTGGGACCGACTGTCTAATAAGGGAAGTGATAATGGAGAGCAGAAGAGGTAAACAAGGTTAATTGGTGCCGCTATCAGTATGGTTGTTGAGACCTGTGTTTCTGTGATCAGTGAATGTTGAGTTTAAAAAATAAGTAAGGAATCTGAATTGATATTCGATGGTCGTTTTGAAATCAATTATTACCGATAACAGTTTTTATTTCAAAGTTATGAAACAGCTTTTAGGCATCAGAATTATTTCAAAACATAGTTGCGTTTGTTTGTGAATCAGCGACTTTTCAGCAAAAACCATCCCTGAGAAGATCTCATTTTTTGTAATTTTGTAATCGACAAAATTTTTGAAACGTTGGAGATACTGTAAATTCTCTAATAGAGCACCACTCTACACTTGCACTATGACGAACATCTTTCATGGTAAAAAT